TTTGGATTAGACATGGACTATTACAATTTAAAATTCTTCACTCTTTACGCCTGTCCAAACATAGACTGTCCAGGATGTTCTCGGGAGCAGACTTGCCTTGTGAACGTTGTGGTTATGTTCCTGCAACACTCTCACATACATTCTGTAACTGTCCCAATATCACCCTAAAGTTGACCAAAAGCATTTATTTATCTAACTTTATCTAAACTTTTTTTTAAATCAGTCTCACTATGGACCCGCTTATGTCATTATTCATTGTTTCCCCTCTAACACACATCTTAACAGTCTGCAAATCAATCTGTTATGTTTTATTTGTTTTCTATTAATAGCAAGACACATAATTTTGCTTAATTCGAAAAAGTCCTCCTACACGCCATAACTTTCTAAAATAGGTTATGCAGCCCTTACCATTGGAAAAGCATAAATATTCTCTAAAAGAGTAGAAACATATATGTTTTACTCTGCTTGGAAACCCTTAACTGACTACTATCATGAAAAGGATACTTAAAAAATAATTTTACTTGCACATCCCTCCTCCTAAATACTGTATAGTTTTGCATTTTGTTTTCTTTTATTGTAGTAAAGATTATTTATTACGATTTTTTATTTACATTTTTGGGTGGAGTCTTTACAGATGAATTATTTCTGTATGCTTTTGTTGGTTTATACATATACATATATGTGTGTGTGTATACATGCATATGTATGTGCACATTTATGTATTTATTGTTTTCCCCTTTAATAATTGCTATAACTTGACATCTATGTAAAATACACATGTTAAAATGATGGCTGTTAAAAAATGGGAAAACCTAATAAACAGTGTCACAGCCAAAAACAAGTGTCAGGCCACACAAAGCTACTATGATGAGAGAATAGTAAAAGTTAGTTAGTTTGAAGGTGATCAAACAAATCAAGCACAATTGCAGAGTAGACATAGAGTGAAGCACATTGATTAAAAGTGGTCCCTATGTCCTCCTGCAGTCTAACACTATAGCAGCATGATGATAGAGATAGATCAGGATAACCTGAGCCACTTTAACTATAAGCTATATCAAATAGGAACGTTTTAAGCCTACCCTTAAAAGTAAGCTAAAATATGTTTCCCATTCTACTTTTAGAAATTCTTGGAACAACTACTAAACATGCAGATAGACAGTCAAGTGCTCTCTTAGGAAAATAAGGAACAACTGGATCCTTGTTATTACTGGCTTAGTTAATGAGAAGCAGTCTTTAAAAATATTCTGGATTTAACTGAAACCAAATGACAGGAGCTAAAATAGGAGAGATGTGACTCTCTTGTTAATTTCCATCAGAACTCTGGAAAAATAAGAGTCTGCAGAGCTGCAGCATTTGAATCAGCTAAAAGCTTTTAACTCCACTAAGTGGACTTCTTGATAGTAAATAATTACAAATAACCACTTTTTAAAACAAACAAAATATATCGAGATCTGAACCACATTGGCTGCAGCAACAGAAGACCACGCCTGGCGCCAATGCAGTTAGCTAAGAACAGGAACATTTTACAGTACCCTCAGTCCCCTTACTGTATCAACATTTGAAAAGAACAAGTGGGATTCAGTGTTGATGAATCTGTTTCAGTGGCAACGTTTAGACAATGCAGTCAGAATCTGGTAAAACCAACATGAAGAAAGAGATCCATCCTTTGTTTCAACCCTTAACGCTAGTGGTGGTGTGCTGTCCAAAGTCCACAGCAATCTTAAGTATTGGACCTTACCATGTCTGTCCCCTTATGATTGTAACGTACCCAACATCTAATTGTTCCAGAAAATAATAATATACCAGAGCACAAAGTTTAAATCCTCTTGAACTGGTTAATTGAACATGGCAGTGAGTTTTCTATCCTCCAATGACCTTCACAGTTGGCAGATCTTAATTCAATAGAGTATTTCAGAGATGTGATGGATCAGGAGTCACAGCATGGATGTGCAGCTTATATATCTACAGGAACTATGTGATGTGATCATGATAACATGGACTAGAATTCATAAAGGTTTGAAACACCTTGTTGAGTCTATGCCATAAGGAATTTAAGCTTTAAGCAAACAGGCTCCGCTGCCCAACCTGGTAAAAGTGAAATAAACCTAATGAAGCAGACATGGAGCACGCTTTGTTACCAGTGCATTTAGTTTAATGATACCTTACTCTTTTTCTTTAATGAGTTGTGCTTTCCATCTCAGTTCTGATTCCTCTAGCTCTAAGCATCCCCATCCTCACTGCAGCCATTTGCTATATTGCTTTAGGCTTTTTAAGCTGATGGAACCACCTTCCCAATTGTCTCTTACATCTTTTGCTGACTGTATCTGTTTTCCCTCCATCTCCAGGCTTTCAGGTGGATCACTCATAGACTCTCTGCTGCTCTCATTTTGCACCTCTTTTACCGCTTCTCATATACATCCTCCTATATACATCCTTCCACTGCTCCTGTTAGTCTGCCATTGGGATGACAGTTCAAACCGCAGGAGGAAGTAGGATAGGTAGAGATCCTTTATTATGAGCAGGTAAAAGTCTTTCACAGATGAGTATCTGTGTAAAGTGGCAGGCTAAAGGTCTACTTATTAAGCCCTTGCCATAAGGAGATAAAACGCTCCAAGTGCTTTCACAACAGATCGATATGAGAGAGTAATTTTTCCCTTGATGAAAATGTCTCTCCGTTATAAACCTGACTACTGACTCAATTTTTGGTATTTTTGTTGAATATTTCTTAATATTCCTTAAGATAAATAAATATTTTACCTCATAGTCCCCCTTTTGTTTTTTCATCTCCTGGCAGCCAAGCAGAGACAGATTTGACCCTCCTTCCCCAGCTTCCCTTCAGCCACCAACCCTCTGCTGGGAACAACAGAGGAGGGTCTCACCTACCTCCCGCCATCCATCATTATTCCCATGCTGTCTACTGCTGTGCTAGATTTTGTCCAAATGCCTAGCAGCTCCTTGGACACCAAGGGCAGATGATCCTGCTGGCAAACCTCAGGCCGAGGAAACACAATGGAAAACCTGTAGCAGCTCAGCAGGAATAGGGAGCATTTCTAAATGGACATGGTTAATGTCCTAATTTCCGAGTTTTATTTTTAGGAGTAAATGTGGTTCATATGTGTGTGACTGGGCTAATTGTCTTTTTTTTTACTGCTCTCATTTAGAAAGTAAAGATAAAAGCGTTTCACTTAAATGCATCTCTATGTGTTGTTGTACTGGAAATATTTGGTCTGGATTACACAAAGGGATGTCTCATACTGAACATGTCACACGTCATACCCATCCTGAGGACATCCAATAACTGCTTTGAACAACAAAATAAAATAAATTGCTTGTAATTTTTGGGGGTGGCTCAAGGTGTATAATCAGAGTTCTACAAACGGGCATCAGAACCGTAGCTCATTGATACTGATGTTAATATAAATTATTTATACGGTTGTGTCTGCATAATCCTTTAAAAATATACCACCTAGGTAAATAAAATGTTGTGCAGATGGTTATGAACCGGTAGGTTTATGCGTTGGAAATGTAAGAAATGAGGAATAAAGAAACTTAAGAAGAGATAAGTTAACCTGCAGCCATTTAATGTCAGACTCCACTCTCATTATATGGAAAAAAGGTAGTAAGTCTGGTTGATTTCATCATGTAGCCCTTACACAATCTAAAGGCTCAGTTTCAGCATTCGGTCCAGAGAGCGACCCATTTTCCACAAATGTTAGCAGTCTCCATGCCAAGGAGTTCGATTTTAATTTGGTGCTTTCACCTGGAGTCTCCATCAAACATAATTTATAATTTTTTAGCTTAATCCGTCAAGGTGTTAATCCCACAAAGTTATTCCAAAAACAAAAAGCCACAGCTGTGTCCAGGCCAATAAACACGCCATGTGGATGTGGGTTTGTTCTTTCTGTGCCTGGTAAATTTCACAGTTTACTCACAGACATGCTCTAAGGGCTCAGACTAAAGTAATAAAACAACGAATCAAATCTAAAGTTGTCATAGGAGTAATCTCAGAAAAGAGAGGGGTAAACAGGTCAGCAGTCTGCAGGCAACAAATTAAACATTTCCTGGTAGCTTTGAGTTGAAGAAGTGTGAAATTGAGCAGGACAATTGTTTATTGGATATTGAAAGGGGGGGTACAGACATCAAGCACCTGTTTATACAGCTCGTTCAAAGGAAATGAAAGACCAACGAAAATATCAGACTCGCGGATAAGCTGCAGGGGATGCAGAGACACATGACTGAAACATAAATTAGTATTAATCAGGGAGCGGCAGATAAAAGCATGTTAAACAAAAGATCTTTATCAGTGTGCGCGCTGGATTAAAGCCACCCAATGACATTTAACAACTGTGTTATCTTCTTTCAGCAAGAATGAATAGAGCCAGGCGATCCCTGGACTGCATGGCTCTTTATTAGCTTGAAATCTGTGCATCAGCAGCCCTCAAACAGAAAGCAAAACTGATTTCTGAAGCATTTTTATTAATTCTCGTTATATAAAATTCACCCAAGAAATGGTTACAACCAGACTATTATGAAATGAAGCCTAGCTTAAGTTATAAATCCATTCAATTAAAAGTTAGGGCCAAGCATACTGTAGAGAGGAAATGTTTTAAACAACCATGTTGTTGCAGAACACAGGATCCTGGAATGAAGCAGCAGGAGAACAGATGAGAAATTAAAAGGGCCACAGGCAATGTTCTCAGTATGCATTATCATATCTGGTGGTGCTTGAACCAAAATACGGGAAGCTGTTGGATGTAATAACCCTGAACATGTTGAGAGAAACGGGTGCACAGGGGACAGGCGGGAGGAGAGAAGAGGAGCACAATAAAGGAATGGCTTTAGAGGCTGAGGTGAGGAGAGAGAGAGGTAAGCAGGGAGGGGATGGAGGAGGAGAAAGGCAGGCAGCAGGCAGAGAAGAAGGGTGATGTCACCCCTAACAGGCAACCAATGAGAGTCAGGGAGGAGAGGGAGAGAGTGAGTGCGGCCAAAGGAGGGTGTGTTTTTCTACCACTGCAGCATCAGCAGAGAGGAGAGAGGGGGCACACTCACTTCCATAGCAAGGAGGAAGAAAAGGCTCAAGCAGATCAGGAAGAGAGGGAGGGGAAAAAAAGGGCGCAAAGAACCACCAGCAGACAGGAGCATCACTCTGAGGGTAAGAGGATCTTCTTTAGATTGGAGGGAATAGATTGTCATTAAGGATACTCAGCAATGGGGACGTGTGGCGACAGGAGGAATGAGGTTGTCAGGTGGAGGTTGCTTGTGACATCTCACCTTTACCTCATCTTCTGTGGCTAACCTCCACCTGCTTCATGGAAATAACTCTAACAGCCTTTTCCTTTCGTTGTCACTGAAATTTTTACATTTTATGTGATTTAAAAGAGAACATTTTCATGTATGTTCATTAAAACTCAGTTAATTCAAATTTTATTTACTTGTAAATTTTTTTTTATAAAACTCTAACGGAAAAATCTACTTATGTCTGGAGCCACATTTTACTTTTATTTTGAATAAGCTGTATTGCAGTGTCTAAACATTGCATTCAAAATATCGCATGCAACAGGGTCTCATCTGACATTAATATTTAGCACTTTGCTGTGTTGTAAACTGTTGTAACAACAAGATAATATCTGTCTGTTTGTAATTTCTGTTTAAAGCCATCTCATATTCACTTCCTTGTCCACAATATGCTGAAAGTTAAGAAACGTGATAGTCAGAAAACTAGATGCAACATGATGCTGACAGGTTTCTGTATTGTTTGATGCATTGATCTGTTTCTAATCTGGTTCTATCAGTGTTGATTTATAACAGCATACAAGCTGTAAAAATATAAACATTTAGGATACTTGGAAAACTGGAAGTAATTCTTGAATTCTTAAAAAAATCCTTCTTTTTTTTGCAGTTTTAATGTAAATCAGTTTTTCTTCTCCCCTCCCCCAGCTAATAGCTGCATGGCTCAATGTTAAGTACAGCCCTTGATTGCAATGCGCTGTGAGGAATTTCACTGATGCAGAGGATAGTACTCTGCTATAAGCACAGCTGAATGTACATCCTATCTTCTGTGTAGGACCTAATTGTCAGGGCAACATTTCCTTAACGACAAGGTAGGGAGGCAACAGAAAAGCATAAACTAAAATCACTAAAAGGAAGCAAGAAAAGATTGAGATATCAACAGGAGAGGGTAAATAAGAGAGACATTCAGTCTGACAGAGCTACAGAAGGAAAAAAGGGTGGGGCACGGCACGCAGCAGACGGTGGAGGTGTTCCACAGCAAAAAGAGGAAGTCACCTGGCTGTATCCTTCATAGATACCTGCTGTCAGTTGCTACATCCCGTCAGATTTCTTTTTCACAGACATAAAAGAAGAATTACACCTGTTTTGTTAATAATGCAGATAGCTGTTTTGTCTGAAGCACTTGTTTTAAGCTGTGTGGGTTCATACCATGATAGCAGTTATCTCTCTGGTGTTTGGTGGGTAAATTGAGCACAAACTTGTCTAATTGTGTGATAATTAAAAAAACAGCAAACATCATGCCACTGCATGTTTGAGCTTGTGAGGAGCTCTTCCGCTCCCTGCATATGACGGTTGCCTGCAGCTTGTCCCAGATGAACCCCCCTCCAAAGGACTGGAGGAAACGGGAATGCCCTAAACCCGACAATGACTTGTTACCATCTGGGCAACATCCATAAACATGCAGGACACAATAGATGAAGATGCAGCTGCTCCTGCTGCTAAATGGCGCCTTATAGTCAGTGAGTCAGTTTTTATGGAGCCTCTGTGATGCCCCTGAGACCCGCTGCTGGTCACATTATCATACCATTTAATGCTGAGGTTTGTGTGGCAGTGGCAGCTAAATCTTTAGGCCGTCATGGGAAATGCTGGAGAAGCAGCGATTCTGTTGTTGGCACAGCGTGGTTTGGAGTGTATGATCACCCATGCTACAGTATGATGCAGAATGTAATCTCCACTCTGACACTGAAGTGTTCCATCAAAGAGATGGATGGAAACCAGGATTTATGTGAAGACAGAAAGAGAGGAGGAATTCAGCAAAGAACAGAATGAGGAGGAGGGCAAGGAATCATAAAAAAAAGATGGACAGCAATCGGCTTTATCAGTAAGCTAAACAAGCTGCTCTTTTAAAATGCTTGTAACAGAGATGTACAAATCAGAATATTGTGGCTGAGTACTAATCTTGGGTTTTTGCATTGCATTCACCTGCTAATAGGCTTAAAAACTGTTTCTTTCCCAGACATTCGACAGCAGGTCAGTTTCATGACCAATCATTGGCTGTTCTCTATGTAGCTGCATCATGCCACATCCCCATCCACATATATCTTTTAACAGCTATAAGTGATCCACTTTTTCCCATGACATGCTTTACAATTATTATTATTTTTTTTTTTTATCTATTCTGTCTGTGTTACATTTATATTCTGGGTCTAGACAAAATGTCATTATGGGTCTATAATCAAAATAAATATTCTTAACTCTAATACTGAATTTAGCCAGTTTAAATTTTTTATGAAGAGATGTATAATTTAATAATATATATGAAACAAGAATTTGTATAGTTATCCTACTGTTAGAGTCTGCGATAGTGCAGAAGACTCTACATTCTGACCGTAAATCTGAGATTTCCAAAAGGATGTCCTGAAATCTAGGAAATACAAAAGTTTAAAGCTTTAAAGGATACAATATTCCTTTATCTGTTTCTATTAATTCCATTATCTGCTTAAAGTCTCTGTTTCTCTCTCTCTTCCTGTCTCTCTTTTTTCTCTCTCACAGAATTAGGAGTGGACAGTAAACAAGCAGCCTGAAAAGAGTAAAACCTCTAAAAATATGCTGCAAATAAATAGTTATCTTACTAAAAGACCCAAACAAGGACTTCTCTTCTTCTTAAAATAAATGAAAAATATATATTCATGATAACCCCATGCAATGCTTGGATAAATCTTTGTATTTCTGCCTGAAACTGAAACTGGTTGTGAGAGTTGGTGTTACACTGGCAAATCTGGACCAATCTACTTCTAAAAGGTGCAGTTTGGGGTCAGGGCAGGTCAGGGAAGCGCTGGCTTCTCTGCCACCTGCTATAACTACGGGACATCTGTGTTAGCCATCCTGCTCATCAAACGCTTATACATGAAAACACACAGAAACAGAGCCAAGGCACACGATGTCAGCAACACAAACAAAAAACTCTCCAGAGATCCAGTGCACCAAATTATACATTCTGTGATATTTCTTCTCTGCCCTGATTACTTAGGCGTCTGTGAATGATCAAACCACACATTCAGCAGTAACAGGGGCATTCTGCTATTAAAGCAATAGTTGCATAACACAGGGTTATAGATGGAGAGCTTTCTCTGTCAACAATAATACTCTCATTACTATTTTTACTTTCTTCTTGATTTCCCTTTGAGGATGATAGCTGCAATTTCAAACTCTAAAGTGATGGCTCTGAAGTTAACTTTTTTCTGGAACCTGTCATTGTAATTAATCTCTAGGATCCATATGCATCTACAGGATGCTTTCAAACTAAGGACATAGCCCCCCCTCTGCACCTTGCAGCTAGGCTTTTTGATATAGATTTGTGCAGAAGGTAGTCAGCCCCTGGATGTCAAGCATGGGATCATGTCGACATGCTGTCAGGGTTTGGTGCAGAATACATTGTGGTGATTTAGGGAGCTAAGGGTCAGGTGGATTGACAGGCAAGCCTCAGTAAATGATTAGAGGGAATACAGGAGGAAGGAAGCCAGAAGGAGGGGTGATCGAAATGTGCAACAGTGACATGAGGAAATCCCTTAAAAAGAACATTTTAAACCTTAATAAAAAGCTGTTACAGCCTTATACTAATTTTAAATCCTAAATACCCTGATTTACATTTAGTTTATTCTAAAAAATAGATCAGTATTTATGCAGTGAGGAAAACATTGAGATCTTAATCAAAACAGTGACTCATATTAGCCAAACTAGAAGCAGGGCTGCAGACAAAGACTCATAAATTAAATCCTGTTTAACCTGTGATAGGATCCTCAAATAGAGGCATCATGTATGGAAACACATTTAATTAATCAGAGTGAACTACCTCATCAGCTTTAAAATTAGAAAACTGCAGCTGAGACATAGACACTGCTTAAAACCAGCTAAAAGATTAATTAATGTCAAATTATTAACAAAACCAGAGGCTTAAGACATTGGGAATGATTCTCAATGAAGGACTCTTTTGCAAAAATGCAGTTTCTTAAAAAAAGAAATTCATGCTGGGATGCAACAAAACAATAAAACTGCACATTCAATATAAATTTATGGATGACAGGGAATTCCATATGTGACATTCTGTTTCCCGCTTTGACAACAACCTCATTCTTTTTTCTGTGTCTGACAAAATTACATCTTTGTTTCAGTCACAGAGAGAATTCCCCTCAGTGTCATTTTCTCTGGTCAACCACAGTCAACTTTATCAAAGAGGCTTCATTGTCCAAAACAGTGACTATAATTAGACTGAACAGATTCTGTGTCTCCTAAGTGACTACGTCTGTTGTTGATAGTCATTTTATTTTCTGTATACAGTATTTGTCTAGAAAGGATCAATAACCATTCATACAGGCCAACAGCTGACTGAATGAAATATGCATCAATTAAAGCTTTTAGTTTGTGGAGTTCCTTTATAAATAATTGCTTCTGATGACTAAATAACATGAGCTAAATGGCCTTTGGATAGATTTGCTATTAAACTAGAGTTTTTAAACAAGTGTCACAGAGAATCATTAATTCTCCCTCTTCAACATCTGGGCATTAAAGTTTCTATCAAGTCACCAAAGCAGATTTATGAACCGAGTAAAAACTTATTATACTTTTGCATTAATAAAACCTTAAAATTACCACAGGCACATTTAAAACAACCAGTTGTTCACAATCTGCCAAAACACAAGTTAGAAGGCATGGCGTTTCATCCAGTTAAAAATATAAACTTTGTTCCTTGACTGAAGCTTCCAGAATGCTAATAAATCCTAAAACCAGCTTTTAAGTATACAAAATATTTATCATTGGTTTGAGAGACTAATTTGGAAATCTTATCTTTTTGGAAAAAAAGAAAAGAAAAAGAAAAACAAAATTGAATACCCCAATTAATTTAGAGCATAGGTTGGCTTTAGT